AAACATTTCCTAACCAATTGGAGGTTTGATTTTCTCATAAAAAACATGTTTAGTACCAGTCTTGAGTTGCAAGGTTCAAATGAAAAGTGAATGTAAAAGTGCTTAGAAATACAGTGTGACATTTATTATTCCATGTCTAATTTTCGTATCTCTATAATAAAAAACTTGTTGTACATTTCCTGTTAAGTGCCTTCCCACACTTAAAAACCCTCTGAATCCTCATCAACACCACAGTACCTACAAAAGAGCATGATCTATTTAAAGATGTTTTCCTTTAAAAATCTGTCTTAATTATTTACTTTTAAAGAGCATGGGCTACCGGATTGTTCTTTCTTTTCTTTAAATTTAATTAATTAATTTTGGGCTGCGTTGGGTCTTCGTTGCTGTACGCCGGCTTTTCTTTAGTTGCGACCAGTGGAGGCTACTCTTCGTTGCGATGCGCAGGCTTCTCACTGCAGTGGCTTCTCTTGTTGTGGAGCATGGGCTCTAGATGTGCGCAGACTTCAGTAGCTATGGCACGTGGGCTCAGTAGTTGTGGCGCACGGGCTTAGCTGCTCCACGGCATGTGGGATCTTCCTGGACCAGGGCTCGAATCCGTGTCCCCTGCATTGGCAGGCAGATTCTTAAGCACTGCACCACCCGGGAAATCCCATTTTTCTTAAATATATTAAAGATATGATAATAAAGAAAACTTATTTCCTAATATAATTCAAGGTTTAGAAAATGTGAACAAGTTTTTAATTTGGTGGAAAACAGTAAAAACCTTTTAAATTGCAATCAAGGAAATAGACACTTAGTGTACATAAGAGTCTATCTTTAATTTTTTTTTTTTTTTTTTTTTTTGCGGTACGTGGGCCTCTCACTGTTGTGGCCTCTCCCGTTGCAGAGCACAGGCTCCGGACGTGCAGGCTCAGCGGCCATGGCTCACGGGCCCAGCCACTCCGTGGCATGTGGGATCTTCCCGGACCAGGGCACGAACCTGTGTCCCCTGCATCGGCAGGCAGACTCTCAACCACTGTGCCACCAGGGAAGCCCCTCTATCTTTAATTTTTGATGGAGGCGATAAGTGACTTGTTACCTTACTTAGAGAAGTAAATGCACCTGAAATACGGCAAAAAAGGAAACATTTCTAAAGCATTCTGAGATTTTCAACCAAAGTACCAATTGCGTTTTTATGCAAGAAACACAGAGGTCATAAACTCGTAGCCCTTGGTGTTACCCAGTTAAATGTTTTGCTGGCTTGATTAATGTTTAAAAAGTATTCGAACCAATGTTTAAAAGTCAGGAGATTTCAAAACAAGAAAAAAATTTTAAAAAAATCAGGATATTTCACATTAAGTCCACATTTTAGTTCCTCTTGACAAATCTGGTAACACCAGGTCCATATCCCCAGATGGCAAAATTTGGCTGGGGCTGGGAAGTGATGCCCCATTTAGGTGAGCATGGGGAGTTCTCCAATCCCCACCACTGCCTATTGTTTCCCTTAACATTACCTGCAACTATAGGCACCTGACTTCACAACTTCAGTAAAACAGAGCCACGCCAATATATTACATGCCAAACGATCCTCTTTTATCATTAATAGGCATTAAGAAGCAAAAATACAATCTCTGGGAACCGAGGGAGGCACTGGAAGCAACCTTGTTTATGTAGAATACAGTAAAGGGTATTTTTCTTTTGTGACTATTTATTAATTCCTTTTAAGTAAGTTCAATCTCCCTGCTGCAGGTTGTCGATGGGGGTGGCAGGAATGGCAGGAACAAAAATGAAAAAATTTATCTTTTGTCTTATGCAAGACTTGTGTGGTTGACTGACAGATGAATTTTCAAATGCATATTAGATTTCTGAATGTAAACTAACATGAAAAAAGGTGAAAGAGGGAGTCCCAAAAAACGTGGTTTTCAGCAGATACAAATTAGTAATGCTCACTCTCACTCAAGTGGTTGACCACATGCTAGCAGACTGCTTAATTTGGATTGATAATGTTCAACCAGAGATGCCAAATAACATCATATGTCATGTAGTTGGAAACTAGAGTAGATTCTGTTTTGTTTTGCTATCTGGCATCTGCTGGTAGAAAAATGTTGCAACATGTTCAATTTGGCTAATTAATCCAGACTCATGTGAATAATATGTGCAGTGTCTAGCTTCTGAAACATGCCTAGGCCTAAGAACAGGAACTGCTCTTCTTGGGTGAACCTGGATGATGCCATTGGTTCTGTTACATTCCAGTAGCAGACACTACTGTTAAGTTAGTAGAAAATGACATATCCTACTCATGCAGAATACCTTTTTCTAATAATTTGTTTTTTCAAAATTCAGTACTAGAAAGTGGTTCTAAAACTGTTAGCTACTAACCCTTAAAAAAGGGTTAAACCTTTTTTAAAAAACGTATCTGAAGAACTTTTTATATTCTCAGCATCAGAGATATAAACCTACTTCAATAGTATGCAAGGAAGGGGAAATAAAGAATTGTTTGATACTTTACTATTTCTGAAAGCCAGAACCTCAGATCACCTATATCAAAATCCCCTGGACAATTATTAAAAATACAGATTCTTCAGGAGTCTTCCCCAGACTCATGAATCAGAATCTCTAATTTTTAATTAAGTTCCCCACATTAAAGTTGGAGAACCAACTTAAAGTCATTCACTCATTCAATAAATAAATATTTAATGCCTACAATGTACTCAGATTGGACTGCTTTAGAAGCTACTAATAACTACCATACACTGACCATATACCATGTACTATATACTATGCTAAAATAAAGCATTTTATGTGTTTGACTCATTCTGTTCAACAATTCTAAGAGGTTTTACAGCTCCATTTAATAGATGATAAACAGAATGAGTAAACTGTCCAAAGTCACCAGCTAATGAATGTGCCTGTTCCTGAAACCCAGGTCTGATTCTAAAATCTGTGGTCTTAATTGGTATATTATTTTGCCTTATTTGAATCTGGAGTAAACTTAAAACTGTTTCATAGTCCCACCATGAGCAAATTTTCTTCTACACAAAAGAAGTGACTGAAGGAGTGCATTACTTAACTTTCAATATGAAGGCTAAAAACATTCTATATCAATCTAAGAATTTTTGCCCTACCAGAGCATTTTCTTCTGTCCCCTTAAGTGCATTTTCTTCCTTCTGCTTATCTTTCATGATCAAATATAAGTCTAGGATAGAAGGAATACATAAGCTTGGCAATCTGGGGAGTTTTCCTCTTGTGATTATGAAGTAAATTCTGCAAACACTTCTCTATCCATTGGACACAGACTGTACCTAATGTACTAAGTGCTAAGTATAATCTTGATTTTGCAATTTTTAATAAGCTCTGATGAATGCTACCAAAAGCCTATCACAGAAATACCAGGACTAATTAGGACTAGCAAGAGTTTCAGGGAGAAAAATAACAATGCCGAAATTGGATGTGGCCAGATGGCCAGCAGTTGCCCCAGTCTCTGCTTTGATAACATCAAGATTCATCTGTATTTGAATTGCAGGGCCCACACATCTTTCATCAACTGTCCCTGGGGTGCCAGGAGTTGAAAACTCATGAAACTATGCTGACATCAGTACACTTTGCTGAAGATTACATTGCATCAGCTCCAAGTGTAGGCAAAGTAGCAGCAACACTTTATTAAAAGGTAGACAGTCTATGTTGCCATTGCAGGGCACTCTCATACTCTACGTAGACAAGAGGATTAAATACCAAACTCTTCTTTGTAGGATATCATAGAAGGGTGGTATGTTGAGAAGTGGGATGGATTTAACAAGCAGCTCATGGTATGGTAAAAGTAGCTTCATTTGAGAAGACTTAATCATGATTGGAAAAGTATGAATACTGTGAAGTATTCTTGCAAAAAATGTTAAATTGAGTCCAATCACACCTCCAGACCAACTTCTGATTTACAAGAAATAAGAAAAAAGGAGATATTCAAAAAGACCCCTGGCCTGAACACTTCAAAATGACAATGTCACAAGGGAAAGAGAGATGGGGGAACTGTTCTAGATTAAGGCCAAAGAGTTATAATACCCAAATACAATACATAAACCATGACTGGATCCTGGTTTTGTTTCTTTTTTGCAAGGAGGAGAAGGTATAAAAGACATTCTTGGTTCAAATGGGAAAATGTACATACATTCGGATTGAATTTCAAAGACTACAGAATTATTAACTTCCTTAGTTGTGATAATGATGTTTTGCAGGAGAACTTTATAATTCTTAGGAAATACATGTTGGGAATTTTAGAGATGTCTGCCTAACAATAGGTGTCTGCAACCTATTTCCAAATGTCTCAGTGACAAACAGTGTATGAGAAGGAGTGAAATAAATATGGCACGACGTTAACAACTGTTGGATCTAGGTGAAACCTACATGAATGTTTATTGTATTCTTTAAACTTTTTAATGTATGAATATTTCTTTAATAAAATATGGGGGGAAGAAATAATTTTGAAGAGACTTCAGAGTGGAAGCCTAAGAAAAGGTTGAGTAACAGGGACTAATGCTGAATTTCTGATAAACTGAAGTTCCCTTCAACTTTGCTGGCAACATCTTGGGCATCCAGGAGACACCCAATATATTCCATTTTTCAGTATTTATCAAAATAATATCATGTGCAGGGTAAAGTAACAGGCAGATAAATCTGATACAAACCATTCTATTTAGGAGTAAATATGGTAGTGAAGCTAAGAACACAAGCAGCTGTTATACAAAATAGTGGTTGTCATAAAAGAGGTACAAAAAGTGCTAGGTAAGCTCAGAGAAAATTACTTCCTGCTGGGGAGAATCTGGAAACACATCTCCAATTATAACTAGGACATGGATACAGAATCACAAAAGGTTGGTGCTTCAGTGATAAACCTTGTTAGAGAAAAGAATACATAGTTCATTTTGGCTGGAGCATGAGTACTAAGGATACAAAAAGAAACTAAGCAAAGAAGGTAGGTGTGCACCCTTGTTGTTGACTGGCCTGGATATAAACAATTTTCAGTTTACCTGAAAGTTCTCCTGATCCTTTTTCCCGCAGCTTTAGGCACCCAACCCGATATTACCAAGATGACTCACAGCTGTTGACTCAAAACCTACAGAAGGAACTACATGAGATAATATGTGACAATTCTGGTAGAGAGCCATATAAAACTAATACGATAGTTTTACGAATATTCACAAACATTGTTTAATAAACCGTAGACACGCAGGATTAGGGCAGTATACCTTCATCCAGAGCTGCAGTCAATGCTTACAAACCCCCACCGGAGGAGAAACAAAGAAAAGGGAGAAAATTCAGAATCTGAAGACAGGAAGTGCGAAAATAAGACTTAGAGGTGTTGCCGCGGTGGTGGGTAACCATCTTTTTCCTTTATAGCTGGGAATGGAAAATGATTTCCTCAAGCTCCAGAATTCTCCCTCCTCAAAGGTCAGGGGGTGAAAGTACGTAACAGACTTTGCGGGGGCGTGGTCAGGAGCTCCACTTCGCGGGAGTTAAGGGCCACACCCAGGCCCCTCCCGTCCCAGCTTGCAGCAGCGCGGCGACGGGAGCCGGTTGAGCCGCCTCACCCCACAGGGAACCTCAAAGGGGCGGAGGGGGGTGGGGCGCGGGCCGCCGCCTGGCCAGCCCGGAAAGAAAACCTTCTTCCAGCGGAAGCGGCTCTGAGTTCGGCTAGCCCCATCTGCGCTTTGTCTCCCAGGGGCCGTTCGGCCTGCTCGGACCTGACCCACGGTTCGGGACCAAGGGACACTTACCTTACTTCGCCACTCCTGTCAGAATGGGTACTCCCTGGGGCAAGGGGGGGCGCAAGCTATTCCCATCCTTCTGCCATAACCCCATTCAGAAGTGTCAAAGGCAACTTCCGGGCAAGACAGGGGATTCCGGAGCCCTAAACTCCTGTCCACCTAAGTAAGTGACCAGACGTCCCAGCAGAATAAGGGCCAGGAAACCTGCTCCCTCTATCCCCGAACCCGGGCAGGTAGTCCGGAATAGGAATTAACTTGTTTAACATGGGATGTCTGGTCACGTTTGGTTCTGTTTTGGGCCTACTTACAGATGCCTCTCTTCCCAGACGGCTCAACTGTTGCCCAGGGCAACTATGAGATTGGGCGAAGCGAAAACTACGTCACACAGGAGACGGCAGGCCCGGAAACTCCCGATGCCATTATCAGTTATGGCTGCCTTAGCGTCAACAGTAACTTCGGATTGAGAGTTGTCTCTCTACCCAGCTGGAGGCTCTCTCTGTGGCCCAGCTAGCCAGCGGCGCCCTGTGGGCGGGAGAGAGCGCGTTGAGGAGCGGAGGAAAGGAAAAGGGCGGAGAGAGGGAAGCAGGCGCCCATACCTTACTCTGATTGGGTAGCGTCGCTGGCGACAGTGCCTCACTCTGATTGGGCAGCGTCTGTTGCCCTGGCTCCGCCTGTTTTTCTTCCCCAGCGATTGACGGGCCTGCACCGGAGGGGTGGGGCGGGGCGGTAGGAGCGAGAGTGTGTATAGGGGGCGGGCGGGCGGGGCGGGGCGAGTGGGGGAGGGGCGGGCGGGGGGCGGCGGTTGGGCAGAGTCGCCTCCAAGGAGGAGGAGGAAGGAGGGCGAGCGAGGAGGATGGCGGAGTCGCGGCTCCTGACGGTAACTAGGGGCCGCTGAGGCGGGAGGGTGCCTGTTGGCCGGTTCTTCCTGCCTTCCTTCCTGCCCGTCGGGCGGTCGGGCGGGCTGTCGATAGGGGGAGGCCCCGCGCGTCCTGACAGGCGCGAGCCGGCGGGGCCGGGGCGAGGCCCGAGGGGCCGGGGCCCTGGGAGGCGCCGCCGCCGCCGCTTTCCTGGGTGCTGTCTCCGGGAGGGCCGGGCCCTAGTAGCTGGCTCTCGTGCGGGGCCCACAGCCGAGCGCCGAGAGCGAGCCGGCCGGCTGACAGCGTCCGGGGCCGGGCCTGCGGTGGCGGCGGGCGACCAGGACAGCGCCCGGGCGAGGACTAAACCGGCTCGAGAACCGGGGCCGGGGGCGCCCGGAGGCGCCCGGAGGACGGTGCTGCTCCACTGGGCTCCCGGGGTCACCGCGCCCAAGCTGCCGGGCGCCCCGTGGGCGTGTGAATCGTTGGCGGGGGCCCTGGCGCGGCGGTAGTGCTACGGGGTGGAGTCTTTCCTCGCCCCTTCCCCAAAGCCCACCGCGCTCTCCCCGTTTTCTCTCCGTTCCTTGAAGAGTGGTGAGTCGGCTTTGGGTGTGTTGCTTGGTGAAGCGAGTTGTAGGCATCCAGGACTGCTCTGTTGGACATGCCTAATGGCAACCTCTTTCCGCGGTAGATTTTAGGGACAGAGGAAAAGTACTCTTCTTTCCCCCCCCCCCCCCCCCGCCCCATGCTAGAGGCTTCAGGACAAAACGATTTTTCCCCAGCCCCTCAGTATCCATTGTTTTGTACCATCCCCCTCCCCCCCTTTCCTAGGTAGAAGAATAATGACGCCAAGCCATTAATTGCTCCTTTTTTAAAAAAAATCAAGAGGGTTTGTGTAATTGTGTTAATATGGATGTACAAACAGGTGAAATGAATACCGTTTCGGTAGTTGAAAAGAAGATGCTTTTGAGTGTGTGTGTGTTTAATTAAACCTTCAACCCTTTCAGTTGGTGATTTGATTTTCTTGTCTGTTGCTTTGTATTATAATGGGGGTGATGAGAATAAAAGAGGAAGCAATGTTTTGCAACCTACCCAAAAAAATGTTTTCTAAGTCTTTGGGGATGCTGAAGCAAAATTGGGTTGCAGATGTGGACTGTATAGTATTTGCCTCCCTCACGATAAGTACCAACAGTCTACATCTAAGCTTACACCTGTGCAGTTTTGTACACTTCTTCATAAATGTCAGCACTTTCTCGTATCTGCTCAGAGTAATGGATAATTGTATCTAAAACTATTTTTTGTTATGTTTTTCAGAATCTTAGGGTACACTTGTGTAACTAAGTATTTTTTATCTAAATGTAGCATCAACACTGAAAGATTGTCTTAATTTTAAAAACCTGTTTATTAGTTGCTAACCTCTACCCTCAGCTTTACATGCCATAGCCCTTGTAACTGTTTGTTAGTATGTATTTGAAGAGACGTAGATATTGGGTACAATTTGTAACATTCAGTAAGCTTAGTTCATAGTTTGAATTTGTCAAGTGTTGATGTTTTCTGTGTGACAGTGACAAGAATTATTAGGAATAAGTATGTAAATGACCATTCCCAACATAAGGATCTTAGACTGAATGTGATAAATCTTTTAAATACTAATTTGGAAATCAGGTACACTGTAAAAGTTTTATTTAATTATGAATATGCATTTAAAAATAGCAGAGAAATAAAGGCTTTGTCTTAAGTTTTGTGACTTTCAGATGGCTTAAATGTAAGATAAAGCTGACATATAAAACTGTATTCTTGAAATGCCAGTTTGGAGATATGAACTTGGTCTATCTGTAAGGTTACTACTTTTCCCAAAGTGTTCAGTTTTTGAAGAAAACATTTATCTCAGGTTGGCACTTGTTTTCTGGTTTCTGATAATACAATTTTCAAGTGTTTAAGATTTTCTCTTATTTGTTATGAATTGTTGTGGATTAAAGAGTGATATTAAGAAATACATTAATAACTTGCAGATGGATTTTTTTTTAGTTTTTAAACTACTGTATTCAGAAAGTTGATCAGAGCTGTGTTTTGATAATTGTAGCAAGTAAGACTCATACAATAACTTGTGAACTAGAAACCAGTCAGAAATGTGAAACATTCCACTTTTCAAAAGGAGCACTAAAATTATAAATTCTTTTGTTATGCTTGCTGGAATTATACTTTTTAAATATTGTTTCTTCAGTGACTTGGGACAGGGCTTGTCCCACGTTCAAGAGATATAAACTGGAATTCTATGTGGAATGCTCATAGATGGCTTCTGAATAGCTGCTGGTTTTTTTTTTGCCTTGGCTTACCTATATGGATTTTGAGGGGAAGCGTGAATAAAATTGAAATTCTTTGTTATCCAGACAGTTAAATTGCATTCATATTTGTTTTAAACATATGCTGGATTATCAATATCTGTTGTGTAATTTAGTATTTCTGTAAGACGTGTTCTTTAAACAGTTTAAAGTTTTTAGATTTTATATATCATCTTATGAGAAAAAATATCAAAATCTGTTGTGTTTTTTTACTAAAAAATATACACTAACCCTGACATACAGATATAAGGATGAAGTTTTTTGGAGGTTGAAGATTAAATGAAAGACTATATCTTTATAGGATTCAGTTCACTATATCATTCATGTATCATTCATGAATGGAAAAGCATAGAATCTATGCTTATAGTAATAAAAACCCCAAACAAGGCCAAAACACCCCCAAAACAATAAAAAAAACCCCAGAAAAACAAGTTGACTCCAAGTCCTTCAGTCAGTTCTGAGGTCTATAGCTTGGGCTTGGTGGAAGTGTTCTTTTTTTTGGGGGTGGTGGTGGTGGTGGAAGTGTTCTTGAACTAGTTTATATCAATTAGGAGAGGAAACTTAGATACAGAAATGCCAAAGTTTTATAAGACTAGTGGGGAATTAGTAAATACTTTGTTATAGATGAATTAGAAATTGGCTGTCATTTAGCAGCAGAGTGGTAAAGTACTTTTATGTGGTACTTGAGAAATGACTACTGCAGATACTAAATTGGTTGCTATTTTTGCTTATTGTTGGACTTACATTTCATGCATTACATGTTATACATTAGGCATATTATAATTAATAATTTAAGGTTAAATCTTTAACCCGCTAAATAATATATAAAAGTTAAATCTTTAACCCGCTAAAGAATATATATGTAAAATTTGCTATTCCTGTCTTCTGAATTTTACATTGTATCAAAGTTGTGTGCTGTAGGTCTTTCTGGAAATATTTTTTTCTGTTAATGTAATAAAGTTTGTATTTTCCTAACTACACTGACTTTTAAAATACGAAAAGTTTCTGAGTTACAAGGTGACCTATGGTGTGCTTGAACTTGATATATTATAGAGTGTTCTGAAATCTAATTGTCAACCAGTGCAGGTAGAAAAGAGCATGCATAAGTCTAAGAAACTGAGTTATGTTCTAAAATACGTAACTGCATTATTTTAAGGTAAACTAATGTTCCTTCTGTCTTTGGCATTTTCTCCTGATTCCCAGTTTTTCAGCACATCATCTTTAACTCAGCAAATCAAAGTTTTAACATGTGAAAAGAGTATTCTAATTACAGAGGGCTCTTCAGCTTTTGAGATGTTGGTAACATATGTGCTTTTTGAGAAAGTATGATATTGCCATTATCAAGATTTAAAGAACTAATTAGATTATTTCACACTATATGTCTCATTCCAACTTTTCTAAAGATTAGAACTGATTGCAAAAAGTAGCTCATGCTGTAAAAGGTAAAGGTTTTTTTATCGGAAAGAATGAACAAATTGCTTGAAGCTAAAACATTACAGGTGACCTTAAAAGAGGGTATAATTGGTCCCTATGTGAAATGAACCTGAAAGACTTTTATGAAGTATTTTGGCATGTCTGTCTTCTAATGTTCATAGCACTGTGAACACACAGTTTAAGCATTTTATTTGCCCTCAAACACTATTTATAAATCTTGAAAATATAATTAAGTAATTTCACAGTTGACAGATAAGTCTTTTTTCTTTTAGTTTTTCTGATGTCTTTGAGGTAAAGTGGAATGACTTTTTCTGACACAGATAATGTCTAGAATTTTGAGTTAGTTTCATCAGTTAAATTTGGGCTTTCTCAGTGTCCACTTTTGTGTTGTACAACAGTCCTTCCTGCTTTCAGGACTTTCACAATTTTGCAGATAGTCTTTAAGTTAACTTTTAAATTTTGTTCTATAAATATTTCTTACTAACTAGTTTCATACTCACTAATGTCATAGACCTTCTACTGAGTGCCATGTGTGTCCCATACTGTGAGGGAACAGGAATAAATATACTATGTTTCCTGCTTTCAGTAAGTTCACGGTTTGTTGCATGAACGGGACACACAGTAAATTGTTTTACAATGTGACAAGCGCTTTGATAGCAGTATACACTGAAGAACTCAGATGAGTTAAGATTCAGACTGCATGTATAACCAGCAATGCTTACTGAAGGTTACAACCTGAACTAACTCTTGAGGAATAAGTTGGATAGGTAGAGGGTAGAAAAAGCATAGAAGTTAGAGATGTTAAGGTCCATTGGAGAACTGCAGGGAATAACAATATGGAGTCCATGTATGACCTAATCTTTTAAGTGATACAGTAGGCTC